GAGGTTCGCTCAGGAGTTTGAGTACGAAGTGCTGACCATCGATGAGATACAGAAGCAAATACACGGTTGCATCGAAGAGATCAAAGCCGTCATACAGTTGTCTTCGGCCACAATCCGCACACTTCTCAAGCATTTCAAATGGGATACAAAGAAACTGTTGGAGCGGCTGTTCGATGGCAATCAGGAACAGCTCTTCGCCGACATTGGGATCGTGTCCAACAGGACGGAGAGGACGACACCCAATGGCAACGAAAGCAAAAGGCAGTGCTATGCGAAGAGCGTGTGTTTCATCTGCTATTCCGATGACACCAAACCCCACGACTTGTTTGGCTTAGACTGCGATCACCTCTTTTGCACTCATTGTTGGACGCAATACTTGACCACTAAAATCATGTCTGAGGGCGACGTGATGGCCATCACCTGTCAGGCCACCGACTGCAAAGTGGTGGTTGACGAGGAGCAGGTGCTGCAACTGATCACCGATGAGACGGTGAGAGCCAAATACCAGCGCCTGAACACCGACTTCCTACGTGTCGTCCAATCGGCTGCTGAGATGGTGTCCCCGTCCGGACTGTTTGCACGCGTTTAGCGTTCAGACCAAAGAGGCGCATCCCGTGCTGTGCGTCTGCGGTAAACGGACGTGAAGTCCGCCGGAGATGATCGACGGAAAGACCGCCAATTGGATCATCACTAACACCAAGGAGTGTCCCAAATGCTTGACCACTATCGAGAAGAACGGCGGCTGCAATCACATGACCTGTCGGTCCGTCAAATGCAAGTACCAGTTCTGTTGGGTGTGTGTGGACGGGTGGTCAACGCACGGCACCTCCTATTATAACTGCAATAAGTATAACGACAGCAAAGCCAAGCATTGGAAATACAGAGTCAGCGAAAGTCGGAAGTTTTTGGAGAGATTCATGTTTTATTGGACGCGAATCATGAACCATAAGCAGAGTCTTCAGTTCGAGAATGAGCTCAAGTCGACGGTCACGACGAAGATGACACACATGCAGGACAGGTATCACATGAGTTGGGTGGAGGTGCAGTTCATGGAGCAGGCGATGGAGGTGTTGTGCAGCTGTAGGCAGACCCTGATGTACACCTATGTGTGTTCGCCGCATACAACGACAGGACCCCTCAGATCGACATCTTTGAGGACAACCAAAGAGATCTGCAGAAAGCGGTCGAAACGCTCTCCGAATACTTGAAGCGCGAGATCGACGCCGAAGAGAACAGATCCCAAGTCTTGCATTCATTGAATTACTGCCAAAATCGACGCAAAGCTCTCATCAATCATATCTCGGAAGGCAATGAGAAGGAGTGGTGGAAGTATAGTGCAGACTCACATACGACTGTCCACTCAAACATTCATTTTTGACAAATACATGTATTTATTTCACTACTTAATTTATTACCTACTTTATTATTTCACTATTTTATTTATTTACTTGTATTTATATAATTTCAATAAAATCTTAAAAACAAATTCTTCATCGAAATTCTTGATATTTTTCATTTTAAAACTTAATTCTGTTTAACATGTAAGAAATGTATGTTTAATTTACAATCAAATACTGTATACTATACTGTATACAGTGTATAATAAGTACTTCTTATACCGTAATTTACAATACTGTACCTACTCTTGGTATACGCCCTACCGTTGAGTTACACGAAGAGAACTGAATTTTCGGCGTTTCATAACTTTTTCTAACTTTTAGTTGACTTTATTAATAGACTTGTATTTAATTCAAATAAACATTTACCGTAATTATATTTAAGCCATTAAATAATATTCAATATAAGTTCGCTTATTAATTTATACAACATTGTAGACCGACTTGGAAATTATGAATAAATTATATTATATTTTAATGTCATAATTTACAAAACAAATCCAAACTGGTATAATTCAGATTTTACATTTATAAAATCAACATCATTTGCATGCTATAAAATGACACTGACCCTAATGTGAACGAGAGCACGTAAATAATGCATAACATTAAACAATTAATTGAGTCCATCATATCCTGAGAAAAATAATGACATTTACTATTAAGTCTGTATTAAAAGGAGTGAAATTAAACGATTGTTTTGTGTTTGCAAAGAGTTATCAAATATTAACCCTTAATGTAATAAATTAATTAAAATGACTGACAAATTAAAAATAATGTTTGTTCCCATGGAGTTGGTGGGCCACATAAACTCGGGCATAGGTCTGGCCCACACATTGAAATCCCGGGGCCATCACATCGTATGGGCCGTCGACCCGTCCCATAAAGAGCTGGTCATCACGAATGGGTTCGACGTGGAAGTGATCGACAACTTCTTGTGGAAAGACAACTCATTCACGGAATTTGAGTCTAGAGTTACCATTCAATTAGATTGGACTCAACCGAAAACTGTTTATTGGCTTATGAGCCGACTCACTAACTGGGTCACATTAGCCAAACTATATTACCAGGTTATTTTTAGCTTCTTTAATAAGGACTATAAACTCAGACAAATGATTGCGAGACTAAAGCCCGACGTTTTAATAGTGGACGACGTCTTCACATATCCATCCATTATATATTCACAAAAGCCATGGGTTTGGCTGTTTAGCAGTAATCCATTGGGATTTTATCAAGATGAAAATTTGCCACCACCTTTTATGGGTAATAATAAATTAAATATGTTTTTAATTAACAATTTGTAATTTTAATATAATTAATGCTAAGGTTATGACACTAGAGAAAAGGGATGGAAAATACTAGCCTTACATTTAGGCCGAAAACTAATAACACATTGGGTTATAATGATGTATAAAATTGCATTTTTGTTGCGAGGGTATAAGGCTAACCCAGATAATAGGTATAATCTTCACTCTCCCTACTTGAACATCTACTGCTATCCCAAGGAACTTGATTATAAGGACAGACACCTGAAATACCTCAACACCTATCGTATGGACACATTTTCATTGCCGCAAATGGATACGAGTTCAGACATGAGCCCAGATCTCAAAACGTTTATTAATGAGAGTAAAGACACAAAATTAATATACGTATCGTTGGGGACCGTAATGTCTGCGGACATGAATTACATGAGAAAGTTGATTAAAA